CCCCCCGCTCCTAGATCCGCATGTCAGACCAGAACAGCACCGACGATGGGGAGTCGGACCCCCAGCACAGCCTGTCTATGGTCTTCCTCCTCGTCCTCGTCTTCTTCATCATGGGGCTGGTGGGTTTCCTGATCTGCCATGTCCTGAAGAAGAAGGGTTACCGGTGCCGGACTTTCCGGGACGAGCTCGACCCAGATAACAAAGATGTGCTGGCGGAGCTCCAGGCCAGTGAGTGCTGGGGCAGTTGGGGCTCAGCGGGGTCTCTGGTGCTGCCTTTGGCCCGGTGTGGACCAGTGCTCCTTGAACACACTTCTGGGACATGGGCCGGGGGTGGGAGGGTGACTGGTCACGTGCTGCTGGGTTGGGAAAAAGGGCTGGGGCAGCGAGAGCAGCGGGGTGCTCCCGGGGATTGGGAGTGTATGGCCCAGAGAACCCTCCGAACCTCTGTCTCTGCAGGGCTGGCGGTGCCAGGGAGGTGGAAACCAGCATCTGGCCCTTCCCAAAGTGGTGTTATCACCAAAAGATAATTCTGATGACCAGCCAGGGTCTGCCAAATCCCCAGCGCCTGAATTATAGCCCATGTTCCCTGCCAGGAAAGTGTCCTCCAGCTGGGACACGAGTTGTCCCTCTGGTGTTAGGAGGTCTGGCATGGGGCCAGCATGGTGTCTGCTAAAGGTCATGTCCTCTTCTAGCCCTGGCTCATGCAGCCTGGAGGAATAGGATGGTTTCCTTAGGATCTCTTCACGGGAAGGGGACATTTAAGGGTTTCTTCCATCACTCCAGGCCACCATAACAGGCTCTCAAGTAGCAGGGTTGGGAAGACAGTGCGGCACCAAGCACGGGTGCAAGGCAGAGCTCAGTCCAAGCAAGCTCTGTTGTTTGGCGGTTTCATGAGGCTCTGCTGAAATGGAAAAGACACATTCCTCCCGCTGCCTCCTTACCTGAAAATGGCCAAATGGTCCTACACAACTTCTCTGGCTCCTCTGTGCCCCCATCAGCGCCTGGGAGGGGCAGCATCTCCCTCTGCCACTTGTGCATGGGAGGGAAATGTGGCTCCCCCAGCTCCACGGAGGATGCTGCAGGAGTTTCCATGCAGCCTTGGATATGCTCCTCTGGCTTCAGTGACTTGGCTGCACGTGACATGGAGACAGCATCTGGACTTTCCAGGAGTTGCTGGAGTTGCCACAGCCACGGGAAACATCTCTGTAGGCTTCCAGGAGCGCAGTGGCAGCTCCTGACCGTGCTCTTTGAGGCAGCTGCCCACCAGACCACAGCTCTGACCTGCTCAACAGGGACATCTAACGTTGCAGACTGGGCTGAAGGTCCAGCCAGCCAAGCCTCCTGCCTCCAACAGTGGCCAGAAGCAGGTTGGAATGGATCCTGGGGATGGATACCACAGTGGAGCAGACATCAAGCCAAGTTTCCCCAGGATATCTTTTAAGCTTGTAACAGTGTGTAGCTCCAGGGCTTTCTCCATCAGAGATGGTTTCTCTATACTCAACAGGCCCCAGCAGGTTTCTTCTCTGTGAACTTGCCCCATTGACCCTTGGAGAATGTAGCACCTGCAGCATCCTGCACCCAGGGGCTCCAGGGCTGGACTGTCCCCACGAGGAGGCTCTTCTTTTGAACTTGCTTCCCACTCCTTTCTGAAGACTCCAGTTTCCCCAGTTCCAAAGGACTCTTGTCTCCCCACCCCTACCCCCTGCCCCTGGCTGCTGCTTTAGCTATTTCTTTTCTAGGGTGAGGGATTTGGTGTTCCTCAGGGGCCTCCCAGAGTGATGGGGGCCGTGGGCCTTCTCCAACCTCTCTGTTGACGTGGCTAAGGTTCGACCAGTGAGCTGAGAGAATCCCAGCCCTCAGTACTGCGTGGTCTCTTTTCAGATGAAGAGGAGGAGCTGAACGAGGACACCGTGGAGAAGATTGTGAGATGCATCATCCAAAATGAAGGTGAGCATTTCCTAGGGCTGGGCTGGAGACGTGCTGACTGCTTGGGCTGACCCATTCCTTTTTCCCTCTCTCTTTAGCAAATGCGGAGGCCCTCAAAGAGATGCTGGGGGACAATGAAGGGGACATCCCAGTGGCAGTGCCCAGGTGAGGGAAGCCTGTACCAGCTTGTGGCTCCTTGCAGAGCAAGGGAGAAGTAGCTTTTGGGGATCACATTGGTCTGGAGACTTTGCAGCCAGCTCCTTCTCCAGCTTCCCAACAAGAAGTCCTGCTCCCCTGAGGGCTGTGATGAGTGCTTCACCCCAATGCCAAGCAGAACAGCTCTTCCTTGCTCCTGTCCTCACAGGAGGTCCCCTCCAGAGCTGCTTCTTCTCTGGGCTTGCTGCAGCGAGGCTGAGCCAAGCCTCCTTCAGCTAACATGACCTGTCGTGTCCTTCTCCTGTTGCAGCCTTTGTCCCCACCGTAACAGCCAGGACGGGGGCCCACCACATCACCACACCGTGCACCTGGGCTCCACGCAGGCCCCCTGCATCCACTGCAGCAAGAGGAAGAGGCACCCGCTGCAGCGACAAGGGCGCTCCAAGGAGGGCAAAGGCAGGATGCATCCTGGAGAGACCACGGTCTTCTCAGTGGGCAGGTACTTCAGGGGGACATGGCCCATCTGCTCTCCTCGTGGAGAGTCTTCTCAGTTCCCCTGTTCCTTTCCCCTTCTCTTCATACCCCACGCCAGGCACCCTCTTGTTCTTTCCCATTGAGATGCCCCAGTTGTAGCTCTGCAGCTGGGAGTCTTGAGGATCCAGGTGCCTCTTGCACCTGGAAATGCCCATGGTACAGGGCAGGCCATGACATGGTCATGAGGTGGCTTCCCTCATTCCCCAGGAAGGTGACTCAAGGTTGTCCTGCTGACTCAGCACTGGGCAGAGCCCCAGATCAGCCTTTCAAAGCCTGCTCTCCCAGATACATGTGAGCCAGGCTCTTGCTGCCCAACAGGACTGGTGACCCCAGGTTTTAGGGGTCTCGTTAGGCATGGGAGGAGGTGACAGCAGGCCCCGGGTGGAGGTTACCAGCCACCACCATCCAAATGAAGGAGTGGCTGTGCCCCTCCAGCTTGTTGCCTCCAAAGATGACTGTAATTAAATGACATGTCAGAAGTATATGAGCAGGGGAATGTACCTGATATTTGCCACAAGTACTAAGGTCTTCCTGAGCTTCCTGTGGTCTCTGTCCAGTCAGCAACCCTTAGTACAATCTGCAGTCTTGCCCAGGTCACCCCATTCTCCATGCACCAGACCTTCAGCGAAGTCTTCCAGGGCTCAGCTCCCTGCTGTAGTGGTGACTGGGGCAGGGTGACAGTAAGTGCTGGTCCCTGGCTGGCCAACCTGGTGAGAGACAAAGCTCTGCTGTGCTCAGATCCTGCAGCAGATCTTCATTCATGGCCTAAGCCTTGAAAAAGCTACATGATGTGGTGATGTTGAGCCAGAGTGGGCATCAGAAGGGGTGGGTTTTTCCACCGTCACAGTAGGGAGGTGAACTGAGGGCTTTGTGGGGAGCTGGTGAAGGAGAGAGAGAGGCTGGAACTCCTCATGCTGAACTCCAGCTAAGACCACACCTTCTGGAGACTGATAGCTTCTGGTTTCTGCTTTGCCTGTTGCCACCAGCTGCCCGTGGTGGCGGTGCTTGGTAAGCCAGGTCTCTCCTTGGTTGCATATTCATGGCTAATCTCACTCCCTGGCTGGTGCCCAGCTCCATCTGCTCCTGTGTGTCCTTTGTTCATGCTCTTCTCAGTGTCCTCTCACTCACTCTTGAGTGCCAGAGAAGACAGTCTCCTTTCCTAAAGGCACCTTCCCTCAGATCTTGGTTTTCTTTCTTTATCCCATGTCACATCAGCCTTCTCCACAGGGCAGTAATAGAATCGTAGAACCACAGACTGGTTTGGGTGGGAAGGGACCTTTCAAGGTCATCTAGTCCAGCCCCCTGCAGGGAGCAGGGATTTCTGCAACCACAGCAGGTTGCTCAGAGCCCTGGCCAACCTCACCTGGAATGGTTCCAGGGATGTCACTGCATTTCTCCAAGGTTGTATTTTAAAAGTTTCCGCTTCCTGAATCTCCTTGGTGTGAGGTCCAACTGCTAAGGGACCCACGTGCCCATGAGTTACAAAACAATCTCCAAATTCTGGTTCTCATTTCCAAACTAGTCCCTTGGCTCTTTCAGATCCTGGATAACTTTTGGAGGATTGTTCTTGCTGTGTCTTATTTACTATGAATATCTGGACTGCATGACATAATGTGACTGGTGACTGATCCTACAAACAAAAGCTCCTTCAACGCACCTCTTCTGTTGCAATCCTTAGGTCTTATCCTCTTAATTTTTTTTGTTATTTTGTTTTGGACAGAGTGGTTGAGGGTCCAGCCCCCTTCTGTATTACCTACAGCTCACTGACTGAGTCTTGTCTGCAGCTGGTATGCACAGGCTCATTGGTGGAAACGAGCCTGTTCCTACCTGTGCCTCCATACATCTGAGTGGAAATGAGTGAGATTAATGGAGGTCCACCAAGATCATCAGGGGCTGGAGCATGTGGCGTGTGAGGAGATGCTGAGGGAATGGGGTTTGTTTTAGCCTGAAGAAGTATAAGATGGTGGTGGTGGATCTGATTGCTCTCAGAGGGATGGGAGAAGTTTAAATGGTGATGGAGTTAGATTCTTCTGAGGTGGACAAGGATGGGGAAAGAGGCAGTGGCCACAAGTTTGCAAGAAGAGAGATCCAGAAAAGACTTAAGGAGAAACTATTTCACCATGAGAATGGAGCAGCCCTGGACAGGGCCCAGAGGAGTGGACGGATCTCCACCCTTGGAGATTTACAAGCCCTGACTGAATGGGGCCCCAGGCAACCAGATTGAGGGTGGGAGGTGGAGAGGAGAAGGTTGGACTAGAGACCTGCTGAGGGCTTTTTGCGCCTAAATTGTTCCGTACTTCTGAGGTAATCAGGGTTTATGATCTGTACTCTGATATTACTGAATGATTTACCATTTATCTCAGGGCTTTCCATAGACCAGTTGTCAGTGGCAGAGCTCCTCCACTAAAGCATCTGCACTTGACCCTCTATCCATAGCCTGATCAGCTGCAGTTTGTCACCTCCTCCTGAATCAAATACCTTTGCGATGCTGATCAGGCAGCCAACCCTCTCCTGCTCTCCTGCTCTCCTGACGTTGACTGTTGGTTACATTACCTCTTGTGCCCCCTCCAGGCCAAACCCTGCCTGCTCCTTTGAATCTGGCTCTTCCAGGCTGACACAATATGGCCCCACCACTTATGCCTCCTCCCTGCCCCTTTGAGACTGGAACGTTCTTTGGTCTTCCTCAATTGCAGTGCTGCTGCCTTGTCTCCAAACATCTGGATTGACCTGAAAGGTCACATTTGCTGATGCTCAGCCAGACCTGAACGGTCTTATGGGTTCCTCATCTGGAGACGGAGCATTTCTCTTCTTGACCCTTCATGAGTAGCATTTCTGACTGCTGAGAGGTCTGTGCTGTCCACAGAGTGCCACCTGGTCTTCAGTCTGCCGGTGGTCTCCACCTCCAGCATCTCATCTGGCATCTGTTCTTCTCTCTCAGGCTTTTCTTCTCAGAATGGCCATACTACCGTGTGCTTAACCCTTAAGCCTTGTTCTTCTTTCAACCCCAGCAGTGCTTGACCCTTGTTTCTGAAGTTGTATTTTGCCCTGATGCTGACTTGAAGCCGAACGTCAGCAGAGACAGGGCCGTCTGCAGCTCCTCTGCGTGACTCAAGTGCAGTTGCTGGGTGAGTCATGGGCTGCATGAGGTCTCTGTGGTGGGATCAGCATTCCTTAGCTGGTGGACACCAGCTCAGCACAGCAGAGATTTCCCATTTGCTGGTCTAGCAGTGGCTTGCATTGCTTGCGAAGAGGAGTCACGGCATTAGTCACAACCAGCTTGACTGCAATTCAAGCTCTTAGGCTTTGCTTCCACATTACCTCTCACAAATCTCCAAGTTACACTAGGAGTAGATGCCTAACTCCTCTGTCTCCCCACTGGCAATATTGCATCACCTCTGCTTACAAATGCACCCTTCGAGGGTGTCAGACCAACTTCTGCAGCTGTTATCCTGGATGCTGGAGCCCTGAGCTGTTACCTGGTACATGGTGGAACCTTGGTGAAGCACCCAGGTACCATCCATCCTTCCAGAGGACAGTGCAAAATGTGCTCTGGCACATTTTAGCCAAACAACTCCTCCTACCTTTGATCCCCATGCCCAAATGGAGCTCAGTCTACCAAAACACTGTCCTTGCCCTCACTTCAGGTGCACTGTGTGCTGGAAACTTTGGCTCTTGTTCCCCAGTCAGTCAGTGGGTGCGACGTCCGTGAAGATCTGCATGGCCATCCCTTCCTCACCAGGCTTAGCCCGTCTGCATTTCACCTTCAGAAGCCACACCTGATCTTCTGTCCAAGCTCCTGTTCCTCCAGGCTGTATCTCAGAGCATTTCCAGGCGCTGCAACCCACCTTGTTGCAGGGAGGACAGGCTGGCAGGGTCTGCACCAGCCAACACCTGGACTGACCTTTCCATCTTTCTCTTTCTGTTCGTTTTTCCGAAAATGAAGGGGAAGTTGGGGCTAGGTCCGTGGGTGTGTGGCTAGAACGGGGATGGGTGGTATTGAGGGAGTCTGAAAGGCTGGAGATTGGCACCACTCAACGACAGAGAGGACCCGTGAAGCTGGAGGTGCAACAAGCTGGAAATACGGTGGGGGGAAGAGGAGGGAAGGGATTTTGACCCGCCCTGCTCCTCTTTCAGGTTTCGTGTCACCCACATCGGGAAGAAGCCCACTCTCCACGAGCAGCAGGACGGGCCCCTGCCCGCCGGCAGCCGGGCGCCGAGCACGGAGGAGCTGGAGCACAGCAGTGACCGGCCCCGCAACGGGACTGTCCCCACGGGTGGCTTGCAGAACGGGACCCTCCGGAAGGGCGTCCAGAGCAGCAAAGGCGGGGAGCAGAGCCGCTCCACCACCCCAAACACACCGGCCAGCTCCGGCACTCGTGACAGCCGGCAGTCGGCCAAGGGCTCCGGCGTCGCTCCAGGGAGCACCAGCCGCCAGCGGAAGCTCCCGAGCCGCAGGGTGCTGGGAGGGTCGAGCCCCAGTATCCCGGGAGAGCTGGTGCAAGAAGGAGGCAGCATCTACCTGGAGGAGATCGGACTCGGGTCGGCAGACGAAGTGTCGGATATTCATGGGAGCCTGAGTCTGCATGAACAGGCTGATGAGTTGGGAAGAGACGATGGTGGGAGAAAAGAGCCTGGAGAGGAGAATGTGAGGCAGAAGGTAGGTTCCTCTTCTTCCTTGTCCCCGTGTGGTCCCCCGGGCTGGAGGGTTTGAAGGGTTGTGGCACAGAAGCCCAGGTTCTGCCACAGACAAGAGCGACCAGCATGAGCAGGGTGGGGTGAGCCGTGCTGACTGTAGGGTGGAATCTGCCCTGTCCTGCCCGCTCTGTCTCTGCTTACCATGTTTGACTGCATTTTCCCGTCCCTTTTCTAATGTCTGGGGCACGTAGACTCATAGAATCATAGAAATGGAGAATTGTTTTGGTTGGAAAAGACCTTGAAGATCATCAGGTCCAACTGGTCTCCCAGCACTGCCAGGTCCCCACTGACCCATGTCCCTCAGCACCACATCTCCACAGCTTGGAAATCCCTCCAGGAATGGGGACTCCACCACTGCCCTGGGCAGCCTGGCACAGCCCTGGACAACACTTTTGGGAAAGAAATTTTTCTTAATGTCCAACCTAAACCTCCCCTGGGGCAACTTGAGGCTGTTTCCTCATGTCCTGTTACTTGTTCCTTGGGAAAAGTGCTCAACCTCCACCTGGCTCCAGCCTCCTGTCAGGGAGCTGTGGAGAGCCAGGTCTCCCCTGAGCCTCCTTTGCTCCATGCTCAGCACCCCCAGGTCCCTCAGCTGCTCCTCACAACACTTGGGCTCTATACCCTTCCTAAGCAGCTTCATTGCCCTTCTCTGGCCATGCTCCAGCCCCTCAAGGTCCTTCTGGGAGTGAGGGGCCCAAAACCAAACTCGCTATTTAGGGTGTGGTCTCCTTTGAGTTACTTTGACCGTTCCCACCCTGCTCCTACCTGCACTGCAGGGAAAAGGCAGGTCATCGGTTGACTTGCTTGGAAGGTGCTGCAGACCTGATGGCAGCTGCCCCTCCTTTGTGGCTGGGCTCTCTGGGGACATTCACTGGGACCACTTTTTCTTGAGCTGGGCAGCTCTGCTGCTGCACATAGCTTGATCTCCCCCAAACCAAGAAAGCTGAGGAGCAACTTTTTACAAGGGCATCTAGTAATAGGACAAGGGGTGATAGCTTTGAACTAGAAGAGGGGAGATTTAGACTAGATAGAAGGAAGATATTTTGTACAGTGAGGGTGGTGAGACCTTGGAGTAGGTTTGCCCAGGGAAGTTGTGGATGCACGATCACTGGAAGTGTTCAAGGCCAGGCTGGATGGGGCTTTGAGCAACCTGGTCGAGTGGGAGGTGTCCCTGCCCATGGCAGGGCGGTTGGAACTAGGTGGTCTTTAAAGTGCCTTCCAACCCAACCCATTCTATGAAATCTGGAGTTCCACTGCAGTGCTGGGACTCAACATGGCCAGCAATGTGCAGGCAGAGCCTTTTTTATCTTGAAGCCTAGGAAATGGTGAGATGGTCATTTCTTAGTTGTTCTTCCTTGCCCTGGAGAGGCTGGTGCTGGCTGTGCTCAGAGGACAGCCCACCCTGGCTGGTGCTCCCAGTACCCTGGTATCTCCCACCCTTGCCACCTGACCACCTTGTTGGAGTGGCAAAAGAGCTCGAGGGCAACATCGGCGAGGACATCATTTGCATGGCCCTGATTTGGGGGATTTGGTCCCTGCCCTTGCCTCTGGGCTGCTACGCAGAGGAGATGAGGCTGATGGTGGTGGTAGCAGACACCCAACACATTCATTCACTCACACACTCACTCGTGGGTCTACAGTTGAGAAAAAACCACAGTTTTTATGGTGGTTCTGCAGTTGGGAAAAGATAATTCTTCTGGAAGAGGACAGGTGAAAGGCACCTGGTGTGGTGTCACCCTACCAAGGTGAGCCTGGGGAAGGATGCCTAGTTAAATGTAGAAGGAAAAAGAAGGGGAAAAAAAAAGTCTTTATTATGTCGCTCTGCTTTCTTGTGGGCAGTCTGGAAAGGTCTAGGCTCTTCCAGGCTGGAGATTTGAGCCGTTTTATGGCAAAGGGCAGCCCAAGCCAGCCACTTCAGACAAAGCCAATGGGCTGCAGCTCTTCTCCAGAGACCTGGAGAGGTGGGAACAGGTTCTCCTTTCTACCACGGCCCACCATGCCTTGGAAGATGGCCAGGGCCCCTCCGATCTCCCAGGAAACAGTCGCAAAGAAGACAAGTCCAGGGACACTGATTTTCTCCTCTTCTTGTGTCCCCTTTGTGGCACAAGGCTCTTGCCTCGGGCCCTGCACCAGGCTTTAAGGTGATACTTTGGGGTGGAGAACGGTGATGGCACCTCAGTGGGACATCTGTCACCAAGCTCTAGCACCATTCAGCCCCTCCCTTATCCCCTAGGTCCCACCCAGGGCCACCACCAGGGTTGTTAGCTGCTGCTCAACATGTCCTGCAGGCGATGGGGAAGGGCAGAGAGATGGTGCTCAGGCTGTAGGTAGCTCCCGGAGCCTCAGTGGGGTTCCACCCCCGGCCCATGGGTCACTCCTGTGGCCGAGACCCAGTCCCCAGCCCCAAAGAGGAGCTCTGACCTCTACCTCCCTCCTCCACCCCACAGGAGCCCAGCACGGTGGTGCAGGACCGAGGAGCGACCGTGTGACCCGAGCGCGTGTCCCCAGGGTGGGGCGGGGAGGCACGGCCTGGCCGCAGAGAGAAGGTTCCAACAGCCTGCCCCAGGAGGGTCGGTGGCCAGCAC